CCTCCTCGAGAACGTGCAGTGGTGCGTGGAGGTCGGCCAACCGGGGACGGAACTCCACCCGGCCGACCCGCCTTGAGGGCCGGATGCGCGGGCAACGAACCTCCGCGGCCTCGCAAAAGCCCCACGGGGGTCGTTTTGTAGGGGTTTTCTCCCCGCTTGTGAAGGTTTGGGGCGCGCCACAGAAGCAGGGGGGGAGGGTGGGGGGGTCTATGAGGCCGCGCTGGGATGGATGTCTTCACGCAGTGCCAAACCCCTGCAAGCGAAGCAGACAAGCAATAAATATATATACATATATATCTATCTATATATATCCATATATTATAGAAATCAAACCGACAATGCGGCTAATGGACTTTTTTTTTTATACCGAACACCCCCATCAACAATGCGGCGTGCGGGCTTTGTGAACGGATACGTGTGCGTCTTTGGCGTCCTCCCCCCCTCTAGTTTATCTTTCAGAGCATTTAGGAAGGATTCGATACCCCCTCTTAACCCATAGAACTCCCTACTTAGTTTTACCTTGTGCTTATCCCGCTCGCTTTACGACCCCATCGCAGTTATTCGCCGTCGCGTCGGACGTGTGTGGTTTTTTTTTTGTGTGTGTGGTGTTTCTTTCGACCGTCCGGACGGAATCGGCGGCTGCGCGTTCTGCCCATCTCCGGCCCTCAGATGTCGCTCGCGCCCGTGGCCTTTGTGCCGCCAGGGTGCGGGGCCTCCTGCGGGCGCGGGGTCATCGCCAAGTCCGGCCACTTCGCCGTCGCCTCGCCGCATAGTATTCTGCTCTACAAAGTGGAAACTCGGGTCCTGCCGAACGTCGGGGAGGCCAACCCCACGGAGGCGAGCTCGCCCGACTACCGCGTGGGGGCCGTTTTCGGCCAGCCCGAGCTGGGCGAGCTCGTCGCCTTTGACTACAACGACGAGTTTCTTAGCGGCCTGACGGCGACGAGGCCGTGGGTCGCGGTCTGGCGGCTTTCGACCGCGGCCAGCCTCACCGCGGAGAAAATCCCCGCCTCGCTGGGCCATCTTTTCGAGCGCGAGGGCCGGCCGACGGCGATGTGTATGGCGGGGAAAAACCACCTGTTGTTCGGCACCGCCGCGGGCCGGGTGGTCTCGCTGAACACCACCGCCGCCGATAAGGCGCTGAACGACCCCTTTTGCGTCCCCATCCCCG